GCGTCTCCTGCTTGCCCTTCCCGGAGATCGGGGAAAATGGCTGCCAATTTCTGGAATTCGTCTCACTAGTAACATTCTTTTCCTCCTTTTATCGCATCAAATTGACTTCTTCTCCTTTGCATCTTTGATTTCAAATTTGGAATTTCGTTTGGTTGGGTGGGTTGTACGGAGCAGCAAACAGCTTTTGGACCCAGAAGAAGTCGATGTAGTTCATGCTCTAGACAAAGAACGTGGAATTTCTCTAGACGATTTCAAGCTCATCAAGTTCCATATGTCCAATCGTACGAAGCTTTTCTTCTTGTGCAATTCGATTCTCTTTTATCTATGGCTCTCAGATGTTGACTATTGACGAACTGCTTTTGATTTATTCTGGAAAAATAATCACAGAGAAGAAACAGTTTTCTTAAGCTTGTTCCGTTTCTTCCTTATTGTTGTTTCAGATATAATGAAATTGGCTCAGCACATTAAAGTGAGGCAAAGGTTGGTTTGCATTTTGGGATCCAATTTGCTAATCAGAGATTCCACTGTTGCGTTTCTGGAATTTCACATGGGAATCCATGCCCTTTTTCTACTTGTGTAGGGTTGTGGCTACCGCAATTACGTATATGAGACGGGTTTATGTAAGGTATGCAATTTGATTTTTCTATCATCTTATCAAAAGCGCATCTTGTGTTTGTGAGAAATGAGATGTCTTATGCTGCTGCAGCTTTGTAGTTATATAAAAACATCTAATATCCCCCTTTGACGTTATACTGTATCAGAAAGAGCATGGTAGAGTTTGAGCCCCGTCTTGTTGCTCTCACATGCTTGTACCTGGCATCTAAAGCTGAAGAAAGCATAGTGCAGGCCAGGAATCTCGTTTTTTACATCAAAAGATTGTGTAATATCGACTTCTACTGTGTTTTGACGTTTTAATCGCTATGCTATTTTATATGAGATCTTCTTCAATTTGCATTTTTGACCTATCAACGACGATTCTAATATCTTTGCAGATCCTGATGAGTACAAGTATGAACTAAAAGATATATTAGGAATGGAGATGAAGGTCTTAGAAGCACTGAACTATTATCTGGTTGTGTTTCACCCTTACCGGTCATTATCCGAGTATGTGCTCATCTCTCTTATCTACCTTTCTGAAGCATCTAATTTGAACCTGTTTCTCTTGTTTTCTGCGGTTGCAAACAGAGAAGAGATGACTGGAAGTGTAAACATTAGTACATGTAAAAAACTTGTAGTTATTATTCCCATTCAATGCTTTGAAATTTTTGAACCGATTTTATATTCCTTGGTGAGAGTTTTGTGTGCCTTGATGGTATGTCTTTCCGTATCCTGGAAATCAACATTCATATGAAGAACTCATTCTTTTAATTTCCCAGGTTTTTGCAAGATGCTGCAATAAACGATGTAAATATGATCCAGATTACTTGGTAAAAGTCCTTCTATCTGGTTATAGCTCATTTCCTAGTTCCAACACTAAGATGTCTGATGACCTGTGTAAATATCATCTAAATAAAAGGGCGATTATTTTCAGGGGAATTTGTAACGATACTTGTAAGATGGACCTCATCCTTGTACACCCTCCCTATCGCATAGCGCTAGCGTGCATATACATAGCAAGTGTACAGAGGGAGAAAGATATCACAGCTTGGTTTGAAAATCTTCGTGAGGACATGAACTTGGTCAGTCATTCTGCCCAAAGACACTACAAACATGATATAACCCACTTTTGCACTACAAACAAGTGAAACTCTTAGTTATAGCTGTTGGTCTTTTGCTTGGGTTTAAGGTAAAATGATTAGTGTTGCAGGTGAAGAACATTGCCATGGAGATTTTGGACTTCTATGAGAATTACAGAACGATGACTGAGGAAAGAGTGAATACCGCATTCAGCAAATTGGCTTTGAAGCAGTAGCAGTTTGGGAATCGCATCCATCCATCTCCAAGATTGATTTGATAGAGAGTTTCTCAACTGTTCATCTTAGCTTTGTGGCAGATATGTAACATTGTTGTTGTTAATTCTGTTTCTACCAAAACCTAAACCTCAAGTGAATATGATGATCAATTTCCCAAAACAAATCTCATTCAACAACAACAAAAAAGAAATTCCCCAAAACAAATTATAGGTTTCTTACTAGGATTAATTAGCTTAATATTAGTTTAGGGGTAGATAATTAGAGAACTAACATAAGCCTAATCAGATTTAGGTTGGTAACATTGAGAAAGAAAAAATGGACGATTTTGCCCCTGAAAAATAGAAAAAGGAAAGGGGTTAAAAAATCCCTCAAAATTTTTACTGAAATAGGCGGAATCAAAAATCCCTCAAAATCTCTTTTATCGTTGGAATCAATTTGGGCGAGATATGAAAGAAAGAAAAAAATCCAGAGTTTGATTGATGATTTTTGATCTTGATTGAGTTATCAAAAAATATTTCGTGTATAAGATCTGATATTATCATAATATATAACATTTATGAATATTTTTTCTTTTTTGCTATAAAACGGAATCTGGTGATCCCTTATATTGTTCATCAGCAGCGACGGTAGGTTTAAAAAAGTTGCAGAGAAGGAACACAGAATTAGCAATGGTGACTACGGTGGAGAAGAAGGCTGTCGAAGGATCTGGAAAAGAAGAAGTGGTTAGTATAGTCGACTATACATCAATATTTTTTGTCTGCTTGTAGTTCGTGAAGAGTATAACTAAAATAGTGAACTATTTTTTTGCAGAACCCGAAAGGATTGATGGTTGTTGTCATGTTGGGAGACTGGGTTCTTTTGGCGACTGGTGTTTGGGATTTCAAGCATAAGAAGGACNAGATGTGCAAGTGTGTTATAGTTCAAATAATAATATAGTTAACTATGCAAACGGTGGTAGTTAGTTATTCAAATAATAATATAGTTCACTATATAAGCATTACAATAATTAATTAAGTTGTATCTCTTTTGGTCTATTTTTATCTATAAATTTAATCAATATAGTTAGTTATTATCTCATCTATGGTCATTAAAATAGTTCACGAAAAAGTTCATTAGCTATTCAAATAATAATATAGTACACTATGCAAACTATAGTTAGCTATTCAAATAATAATATAGTACATTTTTTAAACGTTAGTTAGCTATTCAAATAATAATATAGTTCACTATATAAACATTACAGTAATCAATTCAGTTGTATATCTTCTTATCTACGTTTATTAATATCGTTAATCTGTTACCTATTATCTCACCATTAACCTTTTTATTGATTGATTCGTGACCAAAACGAAACAATTGCTTAGGTAATTTAGGATCTTCCATCTTTGGAGGATAAGAGAAGTGTGAAGCAAAGAAGAGATGTCAAATCGGTTAGATTTTTTCACCAGATAAAGAGATGCAAACTCAGAAAAGATTAAAAAGAAAACAAAGAGAATGTGGAGATTAGAGGAGACATGCATAAATAAAGAAGATGTGAGAGCAACGAAGAAATTGAAAAATATTATGAAGGAATTAAAGAAACAAATGTGAAATCAAAGAACAAAAATTGTCGAGTTTGTGAGAAGGGAAGAGGACTCGACAGTGATAAAGGGAGAAGAAGACGGCGGCGAAATTATGGTAAAGTATAAT